TGGAAAAAACTTGGGCAAGTCGACAGTCAGCACTGCAATCAGAGAGCCGAAGAGGCCCTCAAGGCAGTTCAGAGAGGATTGTTTGACCTACCAACAAATCTACCAAAGCCAGAATGTCCAAAATCACTTTTACCCTGCTCGCAGGCCATCATGCTGCGTGTTGATGTGTTAACGCGTGCGTTCTGGCAACAGGGAGCTTGCATCGCTGGCAGAGAGTCCACTGCGGTGATCGTGCTGGAGTGGCTGATCGAAGTTGGCGCTGATCTCTTGAGAGCCTCATCGACGAAATGCAGATTCTTGGACCATTCTGGAGGACTACACGCGCGGCAGCAAGCCTTCTGCGATCATCGGATGCTGTGGAGTGAGACGTAGTGAGGCTGTGACGTGGCATCTGATACAACAGTGTGCATGGGCAAGTTTGAACATTCGCGCTAGCTTGACATGCTTCCACTGCTGGTAGCAATCTTGGCTACAAGAAAAGGTCTGAAACGAAGAACTTGACTGTAGATTTGGGAAGGGTTCATCGACTTGACGGAAGGCTTGCAGTGAGGTTTGTGCGGGGGTTTTCCCAAAAAAAATGCTCAATTGGCGAAAGTTTTTTCACAGCTGGTCCCATGGATTTTGCGTTCGAAGCTGTTTGCTCAGCCGAAAGCAGCATGGTGAATTTTGTGCCATACTCATGGTCGGCCAAGTTCACTTGTAGGCCTCAGGCTCTACCGACCCCAAAAGTGTTGCAGATATCCGCATGCAGCCTTTTGTCAACGAACCTGGCAAATCCAGCTTCGCTGTTCGTGGTGCCGGTTTCATGCATGGCAAAGCATGGCCGCCTTTGCAAGGGCACTTCTAGAGTCAGCTGCGGATGCACAAGGTGTGCATCAACAGAGTTGTGCAAAGTGATGACGTCGTTGCTCACAACGATGATGAACCGTAGTAGGTGCAATGTTGCTTTGGGCAGTACGGTTTGTATGTGTACACGTCTGTGATCAACGACCATACACTGCCACATGTTGAAGGACGAAGAAGTGACGGTGGAACGACCCGGGGAAGTTCCTTATGAGGCGACAGCATATGACATCACGCGAGTGGCTTGCATTGACTCTGACATAATCAGGAACTTCCAAGTTGTTCAACTCGTGCAATCCCCTGTGAGGAGATGCTCAGCAGTACAAAGAGTGGGCTGCCCTAAACAATAGACCCTAAACCCAAAACCCAAAACCCTAAACCTTAAAACCCTAAACCCTAAACCCTAAACCCTGCTTGTGCGGCGGTTTGAGCTGGGCAGGGTAAGCAAGGGTGAAGGGCGGCGACGGATGCATGTTGTGTTTGCGTGAGGTCCAGTTGGCTTCCACGTTACTGCCCCGGATTGGTACGCCTTCCTTGCACAGCCACCTTCATCAATGGAACAAGCAGCTGCAAGGCCCATGGGCCTAAACCCTAAACCCTAAACCCTAAACCCTAAACCCTAAACCCTAAACCCTAAACCCTTAACCCTTAACCCTTAGCCCTTCAACCCGAAGCCCTAAAGCTAAGGCTTAAGCGCCTAAAACCCCAAGCCTTCGACCCTAAACCCTAAAACTTAAACCCTAAACCCTAAACCTGGAATCTAGCCTAACCTCAAACCTGAACACCCGGATGCTACATGCCGCTTGCGAGTCTGAGTCTTCAGGCTTGTCGGGGTTGTAAGGGGAGTACAGGGTTTTCAGGTTTAGTTCGAAGATGTTCGAAGCAATCTCGCACATGGCGCCTGTTTCTGTTCATCACCAACGTTTACATCGTAGACATGCTTGCGTCTGAAGATTGTCCATGTCCAAAAAAAGAAGACGCCACATCAACGTTACTTTCAATCGCTTGTCGAGGTTTTTTAAAGGTATCGACTCAGTGCTTGCAAGCAGCACTGGTCGGGCCCCAAAAAAGCACAGAAGCAAAAATTAGAATGGGGATATCCCATATAAACCCCCTTATAACGAAGCCCAATAAGGCAGGGATATCCCTATAAGATGCTTATGCTTATGTTCCTTTTGGGTCCCTAAACTGGCAGTATGACCTTCCGAGACAGCCTGGCGCCATCAACCCCGAACCCTCCGCAGTGCCGGAACTGCTAAGTAGATTCGTTCCCGTCTCCGACGGAGTTTATGCGACAGCCTGTGCACCCTAAACCCCAGACCCTAAACCCTAAACTCAAACGCTAAACCCTAAACCTTAAACCCCAAACCCAAAACCGAGAACCCCAAACTGATGTGCGTCTGCGTGAAAGGGTTAAAGTTAGGCCCGCAATTCAGCGTCCAGGCTCACGAGGGCAAACGCCATGCAGCCGCATGGGCTTTTGACTCAGCACTCGAGGGTCTTGGTCGCACCCTGATCAGCTCAACCCCCGAACCCTAAAGATCTGCACAGACCAGATAACTTGAGCGCAAGACTCACGCTTGCAGCCCAACTTCCCTTTCTTCAGACCCCCGAAGCCTTCCTTAGGACCCTCAAAGGGCCCCTCTAGAATTGAGCCCCCTCGCGTTCGAGGGCTGTTCATGGGGTTGCCGGGATTCGCCTCTGAGGCTCCGACCTTCGCTCGACCCTCTCATCCTCGCTGTCTTCTCTCAGGCGCCTGTGCTCAGCTGGCCTCAGGGATCCTGAGCTCTGAGCCATGACTCTTAGATTCTTTTTGTGGTGCTTTGCTGTAACTTTAGATCCTTAGCTTTTTGGGGCTTATTGGGTTTCTTAGATTCTTTGTGGTGCTTTACTGTAACTTTAGATATTTTGGCTTTTTGGGGGGTCTATTGGGCTTCTTGATAAGGCAGCTAAAAATTTGATTTATAGCTGCCCTCCTAAGTGCAGCAAGTCTTCTCTTTGCTGTCAGGCCTCACCTCATCAGCCGGGAGAGGCGGCTGTGGTTTGGGTGTTTCAGGGTCTAATATAGGGGTCGGAAGAATTTCTTCTAGTCGCATTCCCTTGTGGTCCCTTTGCAATAATAAGAGAATAACCCCAAGACCCTATTCTACTTCTTCAGGCCCCTTATATCAGGTGATGCGGAGCCAAGAAGGGCTTTTGAGGCGCACAACAAAACCCTGGATATGTTTTGGGCCAGTTCGGCAAAACACTGAAAGAGCCCAACCCTTACGGAATCGGTGGCCAACTCTACAGGCTTCCTCATCCTGAGATAGACCCCACACCCTATCTCCTAAACCTGCAGTCCAAACCCAAGCAATATCCTTAAACGCTAAACCCTAAACCCTAATCCCTAAACCCTAAACCCTAAACCCTAACCCTAAACCCTAAACCCTAAACCCTAAGCCCTAAACCCGAAGCCCTAAACCCTGAACCCTAAACCTTAAACCCTAACCCCTAACCCCTAACCCCTAAACCCTAAACCCTAAACCCTAAACCCTAAACCCTAAACCCTAAACCCAATAAAGGGGCGTCGTCAAGGCAGCATAAGGTGTGGGTTTTAGGGGTTTAGGATTTCGGGTGGTATAATAGGACAGTAAGAAGCACAATCGCAAAGTTCAAGTACTACTCTTGCTGCTGGCACTGAAAACTGAGGGAATGATTATTCATCATGACAGTAGGAATCATGAGATCCTGTGCTACCCCTGCCTGAACCCAAAAACCCCTAAACCCCTAAAACCCCCCGCCAACCCTCCTAAACCCTTCAACCCCTAAGCCCAAACATTCTGAACTCTAAACCCCAAATCCCAAACCTTAAAACCTTAAACACTACACCCCCAAACCCCAAATCCCAAACCTTTCGACCTTGAACCCTAAACCTTAAAGCCGGCACCCAGCAAGCTCCGATTCGTGCGGCCGCAGGCCACCGACCACCGGGCCGCCCATGGACCGACGATCGGCCCTGGAGGAGGGTTTAGGGTTTATAGGGTTTGGGGTTTAGGGTTTAGGGTTTAGGGTTTAGGGCTTAGGGTTTAGGGTTTAGGGCTCAGGGTTTGGGGTTTAAGGTTTAGGGTTTAGGGTTTGGGGTCGGTTCTGTCAATGGTTATGGAGTACTTTGGCGGTCATCCTCGCTCATCCTCGCTCGTCCCTATTCAGGGTCCCTTCTGGGAAAGTACGTTTATAAAATACCTAGATAGACAGGCAGGCAGATACAGATGTATATATATATATATGTATGTATACATACATAGAGAAATACAGATATTAGTCTAGTGTCACGTGGAGGGACTGAGGGGAGGGAGGGAGGGAAAGGGTAAAGGCACCATCATTTCAGTCAACCCACAAATAGCCGAACATGAATCTCCAGGTTCCAGTGGTGACCATCTCAAAGCCTTCCAAACATCAACAAGGGTGGAGATGTTTAGGGTTTAGGGTTTAGGGTTGAGGGTTGAGGGTTTAGGGTTTAGGGCTTAGGGCTTAGGGCTTAGGGTGTGTGGGCACCCTGAAGCTCTCAAAGAGGCTTCGCGGCCCTACACCGTGATCCAAGATACCGTGAGGCACATGGCTCAGGGGGGTCTGTGGCCTGGGGTGTCCCCTAGACCCTAAACCCTAAACCCTAAACCCTAAACCCTCAACCCTAAACCCTAAACCCTGAATCCTTAAACCCTTGGGCTGAGCCTTTTGGAGTACGGTACCTGATGTGCTTGTGCTGTACATTCGATTCAGAGGTGGATCTGAATGGTGGTCCTTCTTCATTTATCGCCATATTTTTAGGGTATCGAACAGGGACCCAACACCCCAAGTCCCAAACTCTCAGGGTTTAGGGTTCAGGGTGTAGCCCTGAGCCTTAAATGCCAGCTGCAACGAGGAGGTTTTGTAATGGAGGGGTCCAGGGACTGCGGACAGCCGACAGCTTCTTTGGGGCTTCAGTCGTGGGAGGAAGGAGGGTTTCGGGTTTAGGGTGGGCTGCGATGGCTTCAAGTGGCTATTTTCAGATTTCAGGGCTTTAGGGTTTGGCACTGCTTCTTCCTGCAGTCGTGTCTGCACCAATGCCGCGTTCTGCAGTGAGGCTCAAAGGGCCTGTGGCCCGTTGTTTCATGCGAAGAATGGGGTAATTCGCCATGGTGAAAGACACGCCTGAAGCGAAGAGGAGACCTTCCGGGACGTCAAGAGTGCGATTTGACCCGGCCGCGGAGCAAAGCCAAGCAGCAGAGGTAGGGCTGAAGGACCACAACGAGAGGTTAAGCGACATCGCACGGAGGCTCTGCAATGGAGTCGAGGCCCAGGAAGAGAGAGCGCTGCAGTGGGCGAGGCTGTTGGACTCGGCTCTGAATTACAAGCTGCCCTGGAAGGACAGAGAAGTCCGCTTACGGGTGCTGTACCACTGCTTATATGGCCTGGCAGATGCGAAGGCTCTTCCAAGCGTCCCCACTGCCTTGCTGACCCAGCCATGTTCAGTGGAAGGGGCGGACAAGCGCGTCCAGGCCAACATTGAAGCTGGGATGTAGTTTGGGACTGCCTTTGGATCTTTGTGTTTTCGTACTCATTGTTTCTGATCAAACCCTGGGTTCCCTGCCATGTATCCTGGATAATGAGCTCCCTGTAGACCCCAAACGGCCCCTAAGCCCTAAAGCCAAGAACCCTAGAAACCCTGGAAGCCCCTGTATAAGTTCTCAACCCTAAACCCTAAACCCCTAAACACCCTAAACCCTAAACCCCTAAACCCCCAAACCCTAAACCCTAAACCCCTTTTTTTTGGACTCGCCAGCCCAGGAGAGTCTGCGCATTTCGCTTCCGGAGGCCCTGAAGCAAGTCTCCACGCAGAGGCATCCGGGCGCCTACTTCCTTCTGACCTGCCACCTGGGCAAGGCGTGTGGGGTGTGCTTGGAGGTTCATGGGCAATTCTCGAAGTAGGGTCATAACCACCCTAAGTAGGGTTGTAGGTAGAGTTACCATACTATGAACCTCCAAGGAGGGTTCGCTTCCCAAGCTCCTCAAAGCCCCCAGGCCCCCAGGTCACAACCGGCCCTAAACCCTAAACCCTAAACCCTGAAGCCTAAACCCTAAACCCTAAACCCTAAACCCCAAAACCCTAAACCCTAAACCCTACACCCTCCACCCTCCACCCTGAACCCTAACCCTAAACCCTAAACCCTCCCTAGCCCTGGCCCCCCCCAGCCGAGCTGTCCTTTGTGGAGGAGCGCCTCCCAGCATGCCAGGGCTTCCCTTGGCTCACGTTTGGCGTGATCCTGCTCTTGCTGGGGGCGTCTCGGCTTGTCTCGGGTCCAGGGCTCTGGGGGCTTGGGTGTTTAGGGGTGCTCTTTTTTCTTTCCTTTCTATCTTTCTTTCCGTTCTTTCTTTCTTTCTTCCTTCCTTCCTTGGGTGTTTAGGGGTGCTCTTTCTTTATTTCCTTTCTTTCCCTTCTTTCCCTTCTTTCCCTTCTTTCCTTTCTTTCTTTCTTTTTACTTATTTGTTTGTTCATTTTTGATGGTTTTTAATGGCTGTGCGGCACCAGAGGCTTTCAAGGGCGCTGGGGTCTGGTGATGTGCTTCTTCCACCTTTCTCCCATGGGGGTGTCGAAAGAATCGAGGCGTTGCCCCGATGCAGGGGTAGAGAGAAGCTCAACACTGCACTCGACACTTCTGGACATGACATACAAGACTACGCCCCTTTTTTGTAAGCAAGGGGGTTCATGAGTAGAACAAATGCAAGAAAAGTAGGAATAACAACATACAGAATTAGACATTTTGCATTCAAGGGTTAATAAACAACAGCTCACATCGTGGAGTTCAGCAAGCTGCGAGATTAAAGGCCGAACTTGTGGCCCCTTGGAGGAGATTGTTGCAAGAAATGCTTTTGTAGAGATCTAAAAATCCCCAAGTTCAAACCCCGAGTCGCTGGCCCTTACCTGACTGGCAGCCTGTGCCACGCTGTCTAGGACAAGGAGTGGTGCCATATGCGTTCCACAGAAAGGTTGGAATTGAAGGTGTGGCTCTAATCCCTACAAGGCTAGAGCTTGGGTCGCAACATGGGGGCTGGGGGGCAAAATGGAATGGCCAGTCGCTGTGGGTTACTTTTCCCTTGCCGCCGCCTCCACACTCTGGGGAGAGGCTTGAGTATGAGATCTTCCACTCCAACCCTTCAACCTTAAACCCTACACCCTGAAACTTAAGCCCTGAAACCCTCCAAGCCTTCTTACCCTAAACCCTAAACCCTAAAAAACCCAGACCCCTAAACCCCTAAACCGCTGAACCCCTCCCCCAGGTCCTTTGCGGCCCGGGCCGCGCCGAGACCCCGGTCGCCTTGCCGGCGCAAGGCTGGGCCGAGGCCCGGGGTTCGGGGTTGAGAGCTTTTCGGATTTTGGTTTAGGGTTTAGGGTTTAGGGTTTAATGTTTAGGGTTTAGGGTTTAGGGTTTAGGGTTTAGGGTTCAGGAGGTTTGGGGTTTGGGGTTGAGAGTTTCGGATGGAGGTGTTGGGGCTTGGAGTTCAAAGAGTGCTGGGACATGCTGGGACGTCGGCCTTCATGGCAACGTCAGTTGGCCCGCGGCTGGTAGCCCCCCTACACTTAAGCCCTTCCCTTATCCCTTAACCCCTAACCCCTAACCCCTAACCCCTAAACCCTAAACCCTAAACCCTAAACCCTAAACCCTAAACCCTAAACCCTAAACCCTAAAGTGTGTCACGCACTTTTCCAGTTGCTTCTAGCATATTTGCCGGTTCTTCGTGCTGGCAGAGGTCTCCTTGCCAGCCCCAACTGGTGCTGCGCAGACGGCCCCCTGGACTGGATTCCCCTACGCCCTAAGGCCCAAACCCTAAACCCCCTAAACCCTCAACCCTCAACCCTCAACCCTAAACTCTAAACCCTAAACCGTGAACACCCTGCACAGCCTGGAAAGCCTGTTCCTGTTCCTGTTCCTGTTCCGTTTGCATCATCGTCGGAAGTCGGACGAGATGTGGTTGCACTGAATTAGGCACAGTCCTTAAATCATACTATGGATCCCTTTATAGTTGAAGATATATATTCCTTAACTAAGGGTTCTGAGCTCTCTGGGCACTTAATTGAGCCTGGGAAAGCCCTAAAATCCTGAGGGTTTATCTTGGAGGGCTCTTGCTGTCAAGGAGTTTCATCGGGGGAACCCTCGCGTAGGAAGAAGACCCCCCCGCAGATTTTCAAGCACATGCGCTAAAGCTTTCTTGCAAAAAGAGATGTTCTTGCGGGCCAATGCCCCTTCATTAATGAACACACCTCAAACTCTAGCGGGGCATCCGGGATTCATCATGAACTAAGGCATGTTCTGTAACGCAGGGATCTTAGGGGCAAGAAGCTACGGTCTGAAAAGGTTGAGATGGGCGTTTGGGATTCAATGTGCGCTTGGGGCTGCGCGGGAACCAGAGAAATTTGAGCGTTGCTTGTGTAAGGGTATCCCTTTAGGGTGGAGGGTTGAGGCATGTTCAGGGCGCAGGGAATGATTCCGGTAGCCAAGAGATCGCATAGGTTGCCGAAGATGCTAAAGACAATCTGACTTGCGGAAAGCAACCATCTTTAAGAACTTCCCAACGGGAAGTAAGTGTTGGGATTGCAAAAAAAGGGGTGCAGCAAAACGACACAACTAGAGAAGGCAGCTGGTATGAATTGTATGAACAGTGTCGCGCGCATGTAGGCGTGTGTGAGACGATGTGGCTCTTTTTACCCCCCCCCCCCCCTGGCCTTTCCAAAAGGGGACCCGACCGAACGATTGAACACAACATCCTGAACCTCACATCGTGCCCGTGACGGTTGGGTGCACTCTTCCAAACCCCAAACTTCGGAAGTCGAACCTGTTCGGACGTATTGCAGCGAACCTCGAATGGTGCGGCAAGAGGGTGTTGTGCAGCATCCCAAGCGGTCCAAGCGTGAGCAGAGTCAGCATGGTGGACCCAACTTGAGGGTTATATCCCCCTTATGCCCTCCTTATATGCCCCCTTTTACCCCCCCCAGTACCCCCAAAACCTACAGCCCTTGACCCCAGGCTGCGGTCGCCCCGCTGCTTGTTGCAGGTGCTCTGCTGGCCTCTCGGCTGTTTAGAATGAACCGTCTGGACTAGGGCCTACAAAAACCCCTAAACCCCGAAAACCCCTAAAAAGCCCCAAAGTGCCCTAAAGCCCTTAAACACCCCCTGAAAATCCTAGAAACCCCTAAAAGCCCCCCTGAAAAACCCAAAAGTGCCCTAATAAGACCCTAAACCCTGTAGGGCTGTAGGGCAGCTTCGGCCGGGAGTCAGAGCTCGGTGGCAGGGTACAGGGCGGCACCCGGGGCTTTTGAAGGAAGTTCCGGGCCGAAGGGTCCCAGAGACGCCAATGCCCCTTAATTACAAGGAATCTTCCCTTAAACCATATAAGGAACCCTCTTAGTCTTTAAGGAAATATTCATTCAAGCTATATAAAAGGAACCCTCTTACTGTTTAAGGAAATATTCCCTTAAAACCACATAAAAGGAACCCCTCTTACTGTTTGAGGGAAACATTCCTTGGTTGAGGGGGTCTTGGAGTCCCTAAAGGGGGTCTGGATTCAACAAGGCCATCCTGGGAGGCCTTTTTTTGCTTTTGTTGTAGGGTTTAGGGTTTAGGGTTTAGGGTTTAGGGTTTAGGGTTTAGGGGTCTTTGAGTACAGCTCTATGCTATCATGTGACAGGACGTTTTTGTCTGGATGATGGTATGATACTAGGTAGGCCCTTGGGACATGTTATAGCTTTCCTTTGTTGGGTTTCAAGAGGGGTCATGCTCAGGAATATTTTCCAGAGGGCTCCAAGGACAACCCTAGGATATGATGATCCCCACAGACATGGTGCGAAAGGTGACCCTTCGGCGGGTGACCTCCAGTCGTGCACAGGTTGGGGCATGCGGGAGCAGGGTTTGTCGCCCTTCGGGCCCCATAAACCCTAAACCCTAAACCCTAAACCCTAAACCCTAAACCCTAAACGTAAACCCTGCATCCTCACCCTAAACCGTAAATTCGGAGTCTGCCGTTTGTTTGGGGTCCTATGGAGGGCTCTGAACGGAACTTCAGCAATCGTAGCTTGTTGCACTGAAGGGGCTGAGACTGGAGCCGGTACTTGGAGGTTCATGGTACTTTTTAACAAATTATAACTGTACTTATAACTGTACTTATAACCCTCTTAGGCCACTTAAAGGGCTTATTCGTGGGTTATGAGTACGGTTATAACTGGTTAAGAAGTACCATGAACCTCCAAGTACTTCATGGCAGCCATGTATGTCAGCTCTAGGCATCCACCGAGTAGTGACGCCAGCGATGTTGCGGCTACCTTGAGGCCCCCAAGTCTTCGACCCTGAGCCTTATGAGCCCTCAGCCTTGGATCCTTGCTCCTCTGCCCCAAGCGCCCCTGCAACCCCTAAACTCGAAACTCTAAACCCTAAACCCTTAGCTCTACACCCTAAACCCTAAACCCTATACAGCAGCCCTAAACCGCAGGACTGGAGCTTGCTGCTTTGCTTGGGTATGTTGAGCATTGGTGCGGCCAACCGTACCTTGGACTTGCCTTGTGACAAGAGGGCTTTCTGTAATCCTCAGTTCAGGGTGCAGAGTTTAGGGTTTGGAGCTTAGGGTTTAGGACCTTTGAGCTTGAACTTCATGAAAGCCAGCCTGTGGCTTCTCCGAGCAAGCCTTGAAAAAGCCTTGGAATTCTAAATTCGGATTCTTGTCTTGTGGTCGTTTCTTCAGGAGTTCTGCAAAAAGGTGCTTGCAAAAGGAACCCTAACTTAAACAAGCCAGCCTCCAACCGTGTATGGCTTGTTGCGAAGGGACTCCTGCTTCTCAGGCGACGTGCGCGTCGGACAAGAGAACGCGAGCTTCTCAGCAAGCTGCTTCGCAAGCTGTGAGGCCTCGAAACCCTAAAACCCCCAAAGCAAGCCCCCCCTAAACCCTAAACCCCAAACCCCAAACCCTAAACTCTAAACGCTAAACCCTAAACCCTAAACCCTAAACCCTAAACCCTAAACCCTAAACCCTAAACCCTAAACCGGACACCAACCCCACAAGCCCAAACCCTACACCGTTAAGCCGACGCTCGCCACAAATCCCGGACATAAACACCCGAAGCGTTTAAGCCAAACCCCACTCCCTGAACCCCGAACCCTAGCCACTGAAACCCTGAACCTTGCAGTAACTTTGGCTTCAGGGCTTTTAGGGTTTCGGGTTTAGGGTATCGGGTTACCCTAAACCCTAAACCCTAAATTAAACCCTAAACCCTAAACCCTGAACCCTGAACCCTGAACCCTAAACCCTAAACCCCTAAACCCTAAACCCTAAACCCTAAACCCTAAACTCCTAAACCCTAAACCCTAAACCCTAAACCCTAAACCCTAAACCCTAAACCCTGAACCCTGAACCCTGAACCTCCAGGATGCTTCGAGAGCACCAAGCCTCTCCCTCCCCGTTGCGCGGGAGCCGCTAGGTGTGGTGTCCCTTGGCCGGGCATTCTTTTAGGGTTCAGGGGGTGGTCCCTTGGCTGCAGGCTTTTGCCTGTTTTTTGGGGAGGGATTCTGTTGGGTTCAGGGTTGAGGTTTTTTTTGGCTTTTCGGTTGTTTTTTTTTGGATTTTCGGTGATTTTCGGGTTTTTCGGTTGTTTCGGGGGGTTCCGGCTTTCCAGGGCTTAGGATCCAGGGTTCGGACGGTTGAAGCCGAACCCCGAACCCTAACCCTAAATCCCTAAACCCTAAGCCCAAATCCCGAAATCCCGAAATCCCGAAATCCCGAAATCCCTAAATCCCTAAATCCCTTAATCCCTTAATCCTAACCGCAAAACCGCAGAGGTGCCTTCGCACACCTGCCAACGGCTCCTCGAGCGCTGTCTTGGGAAGCAGGAGGTAAAGTCCTCTTTGATGGTTTTAGGGCGGGTTTAAGGGATTTAGGGTTTAGGGTTTCGTGTTTGGGGTTAAAGGTTGAGATGTTCCCCCTATACTAACAGTCCTTAGTAGGGATTACAATTGGGGCCCAGTAGGTATTACAATCCCGATTGAGGACTGTTAGTATAAGGGGGAACGTCCCAAAGTAGAGTCCTCTAAGGATTTCAGGGGTTTGAGCGTTTAAGGGTTTGAGCGTTTAAGGGTTTGAGGGTTTAAGGGTTTATGGGTTTCAGGGGTTCAAGGTGTAAGGGTTTCATGGTTTGAGGTTTAGGGGTTTGAGGGTTCAAGGGTTTGAGGGTTTGAGTGTGGGTTTAAGGGTTTGAGGGTTTGAGTGTCTTCAGGGTCTTCAGGTTGTAGGCTTTAGGGGCGCCTGTAGCGCTGCGAGATGAAGTGACGTGCACGGGCGCTCTTTTTCAAGACCGGGGTCCCTTCGAGGTTCTCGTGTGAAGGAAGGCCGTGAAGACCGAACCAGAAGGAGCCCAAGTACACCCCTAACAAAGGAATATGCCTATTAAATCACAATACAGCTCCCCTGGCGTAATTTAAGGCGTATTCCTTTTGCATGGGGGTTCGGGCTTTCTGGCAACCAGAAAGGGACCCTGATGTTGAAAGCTGCCCGCATGTTGCGCCATGTTTGAGTTGGGGGCATGCTGCGATGCCGCACGCCGCCCAAGCCCTTAAGAAGGGCCGAATCATCTCATGCGGTGCGACAAGGCCAAAACACCCCAAACCATGTCCCAAAGTGCCCAAATCCTAAACCTGAAGCCCTATAATCCCTGAACTCTCAGTGTTTCTACGGGTAGCATTATAGGGCCCTCAATATGGTCCCTTACTCCTTTAAAGGGTTCTGAAGTAAGGGTGCTTGGGCTGTCCCTAAGATAATCCCTTCCCCCTATTTCTAAATCCGCCCCTCCCCCCGCAAATCTGAAATTCGCCCGGGGCAGAAAAATATTTAAAATTATGGGGGGCCTAAACCCTAAAACCTGAATTCCGAAGCCGGCGGGGTCCGGGAAAAATATATTAAGGGGGTTTTAGTATTGGGGGAGGGTTAGGGTACCTACCCAAGAAGGGACCATTCCGCAGACTGTGCGGGGGGGGGGGGGGGGGGGGATCGGGCCTGCAAGCCTTTACCATCTTCAAAGCCGGATGGCTCAGCACCCAAACCCAAAACCCAAAACCCAAAACCCAAAACCCTAAACCGTAAACCCTAAACCCTAAACCCTAAACCCTAAATCCTAAACCCTAAACCCTAACCCTAAACCCTAAACCCTGAACCCTGAACCCTGAACCCCAAACCCCTAAGGCCCTCAACTCCCCAGTCAGAGTGAGCCCCTGGGTGTGTCCCCCGCCCAGAGCACAATCCTGGTCGAGAAGTTTGGCAGCTGGGAGCACCCAGAGACTCCAATAGGGTTTAGGGTTTAGGGTTTAGGGTTGAGGGTTTAGGGTTTAGGGTTTAGGGTCTGACTTCAGGAATTTTCCTCAAACCATATAAGGAGCCCCTAATACATTTTAAGGACCGTTTCTGGGAGCCTGCTCCTGTGAGGCATCTGCTGCTGTGAAAGCCTGAACGCGAAAGCCCCCCCTAAACCCTAAACCCTAAACCCCAAACCCTAAACCCTAAACCCCAAACCCCAAACCCCAAACCCTAAACCCGAAACCCTAAACCCTAAACCCTGAACCCTAAACCCCAAACCCCAAACCCTAAACCCTAAACCCTGAACCCTAAGCCTTCTGGCAGGGGCCAGCGGCGCGGTGGCACAGCCGAGGTGGGTGGGCTGTTTGGGACGTATCTTGGGATGTTCGCCTTATACTAACGGCTCCTGAGTAGGGATAAGCAGTAACCCCCGATTTTAATCACCATTAAGGACTGTTAGCATAAGGGGGAACAAGCAAGTTCAAGACGTGCATCCTTCCACCCCCTAAATCTCTGCAAGCCCTAGACTGCACGCAACAAAGCCACCCCAAGCACGATAAGCGCTGCTACGATGTATATTACTGGTTAAGGGTTTAGGTTTAGGGTTTCGGGTTTCGGGCTTAGGATCAATCTCATCTGGTTTTGAAAAGCCGCTTCCCACGTGAAACGCCAGGCACCTAGAGACTCCACTACCCCTTGGTTAGGGAATATATTCCTTAAAAACCGTATCAGGAACCCTCCTTTAATTTTAAGGAAAGTTCCTTTTGTTAAGGGGTATTGGAGTTCCTGGGCATTCTAAAGCAGCGTGACCGGAGGTATAGAAGGTGAGCGACGAGTCAGTGTAAGAAACCGGAAGTCCAAGCTGCCGTGGTTTCTTTGTCTTTGTTGAACTCATTTGGGGGTTTACGAACATCGGGGACCCAAATAGAAGGTTTCCCTAAGGTACCCTAGTTCGGAAACCGGCATTTTTTTGACTTTCAAGCACATGCCTTTCTGCTTGCTTGCGTGTTTGGTGGTGGCTGACAGCTGGCAAGCAGACTTCTCGTTTTGTGTCCCTGCTAGCTTTCTGCCCTCTCTCATCGCTCTGTGTGCGCAGGTGGTGCAGATCCCGCAAAGCTTGCAAGTTCATCGAAGGCTGATGCCCTTTATGTGTTCTTTTTGGGATGTTCCCCCTTATACTAACAGTCCTTTATAGGGATTGTAGTATACTCCCGAGTATAATCCCTTTTAAGGATTGTTACTATAAGGGGGAATATCCCAATGTTCTTTGTTGATCTGTGAATGCAAGCCTCATCCGAAACCGTAAGTCTTCAACCCTACACCTTGGCATGTTCCCCCTTATACCAGCCGTCCTTAATGGGGATTCTACTAGGGGTACTATAACCCCTATTGAGGACTGTTAGTCATGTAATTATAAGGGGGAACATCCCAACCCTGCACCGGAAAATCTCTGGATCATGGTCTCGGGAGCCAACTCCTTGGAGGTTCGTTGGGTAGATACAAGCCGGGTTAGAAGTAGGGTAACTCCTATTTAGGGTACATATAACCCTACGTATCACTACCCCTGAACCTGAAAGTTATGGTCTTTCTAGCAACCGAACTGCCCCTCGACTCTTGGCCGTGGCGTTTTTTTGCAACAGAGCCTCAAACCTAGCCTGTGCATCGAGCGTGTGCACCTTTAAAACTGCCTAGTAGTAGTAGTGGCGGTGGTGGTGGTGGTGGTGGTGGTGGTTGGTGGTCATCGTTGTGGTTATAGCTGTTGTGGTGTGGTCTTCCGGAGACCTGCTTCACTTGACCTGCGTCGCCTGCGGAGGATGCATGGCATGGACGTCCAGCAGAGTGGGACCATCTGTGTGGCGCTTGGTTAAACCAACTCCCATAAGCCCTAAACCGTCCCGGGGTTTCGGGCTCTGAGGGAGAGAAGCTCTGTAGTCGTCCAGGCTTTAGGGTTGGGGTTGTAGTTGTAGGCTCCAGAATGAGCAACCGGCTGGCCGTCTTTGGAGGGTGTAGGTCTCCTGGTGTTTGTGAAAAGAGGTACCGATCTAAATGGCCATCTGATCGCATCACAACGCCTCTTAATTCAGGAAGACTCCCTGTGTAGCTTAAGGTCCATTCCTCAATCAAGGGGGGGACCCGGAGCCTGAGCGTGAGGTTCGAGGTTTTGGGTTCAGGGCCCTCAGCGCTGTGAAAGGTTGTGCCATGATCAATGCAGGCAAGAACAAGGACGCTGTCAGCTTCTGGGGTTTCGGGGGTTTAGGGTTTAGGGTTTATTTTCTTTTTTGGGGTGTAGGGCTTAGGGTGTCAGGGCTCAGGGCTCAGGGTTGTAGGATTGAGGGTTGCGGGCTCAGGGTGTGGCATTCAGGTCGAGTAGGGTCTAGGGTTGAGGGAATCAGTTGCTTAAGCCCAGAAAGCCCCAAGGGCATAAGCGAGCCTGAAAGGGACCCCCTAGAAGGGCCCCATGCGAAGAAGCTCTTCTTGGGAGCCTCCGACGTCTTAGGGGGAGTCCTGGACCTTTACCGGAATACTCTTATCCGTTTGATGAGGGAAGACTGCCCTGGTTTTAGGGCACCCCGCAATAAGTTGGAGTCTTTGGTGGCTTCCGCAACAAGACGCACGAAAGTGCCCCACCCTCTTTGAGGGTCTTGCCGGCCCTGTGACTTGAGGTCTGGGATCCCTCCGCAAGAGGGTTTAGGGTTTAGGGGTTTGGGGTTTTTCAGGGCCTAGGGTTTAGCACGGACGTTCATCCCCCATCCCAAGCCGCCCGACACCTCCCCCCTAACCCTCAGCCCTGAACTCCCAAGCAAGCCACACCGAAGATTCAAGCGCGGTCTGGGTAAAGGAATGGAGGGTTTAGGGGCATTGGATTCGGGTTGCTGTTTTGCATTTTGTTGGCTTTTGCGTTCAGAAGTTAAGGGTGTCAGTGTTTTGGTGTGTCCTCAGTTTGGGCAACATTTAGGGAGGGTAACCCCCCCTCCCGCACAGACACACGCACACGTACATGCTCATTTACACACGCGCAGGCACACGCACGCGCACGCATGCGCACACACCGCCATGCAGTCTTTGGGCAAGCGTGTTTCTGCAGACATGAACAAAGCACCTGGTTCAGGATCTGAAGATCGAGCGCGTGGGAGCCCAGATGTCGAGCTTACGGAGTAAGTGTGGGTAGGGCTTGGCTGTGGGGGGGTAGGGGGCTTGCGCGCGTTGGGAGGTCAGTTTGGGGTGCGGCTTTAGGGGTTTCGGGGCCTCTGTCTCAGACCATCGCAAGGATGCAGGCATGTCCGCTCTGGCTGTATCCTGTTGCGAGTAGGAGTGGGACATTGCAACAGGCATGCCCCTGTTGCATTGAAGGATTCTAGAAACCTTTCCCGAATGCTGATGAAAGAAGGCCCGTACCAGTATTTCATGACACGAAGGCCCCTTCGTAGTCTAGGGTGTGTGTTTCCCTCAGCGGCACTGGCCCTTTGGGTCAGCTTGTCCCAGGCAAGGTCATAGATGAGGCAGATGCGGAGGACGAGGCGGAGAGGCTGCGCGAGTTCCCTGGCTTTGCC